ACTGTGTCTGAAGCCCAATGTTTGAGATGGAGTTGTAAACTGTGTATTTATGGAAATTAATGCTTTTTCAAAAGACAATTTAATATTATCTCTGAAATTTATGCACCTTTTGTACAAGAATTTATAAATAAGAACATAAATTTCCAGAATTACATGAATAAGGATATATTTTGGGAGTATAAGTGATTATAAAAATAATTAGAAATAATTTAAATCTGTGGTATATTTATTAATCATACTATGTCCAATCAATAAAATCCAAGTCAAATTGTAGAGAGTATAAAATCTGGACCTGGAGAGACAGCTAGTTGGTGAAGGGCCTGTTGTGAAATCATGAGGACCTAAGTTCAAATCCCGGGCACCTACCTAAAAAGTTCGGAGTGTGTGCGTGTGTGTGTGTGTGTGTGTGTGTGTGTGTGTGTGTGTGTGTGTGTGCAACCTCAGTGCAGACGCCAGCCGCCTTGTTGCATAGACAGCCCAACCAAATTAATGAGCTTGAAAACAGCTGAGGAAGACACACAGTGACCACCCCTGGTCTCTAGACCTATGTGCACAGCCCCACATGAATACGTACATGCATGGCACATGCACAAAAGAATAAAATTTAACATGGATTGATGAGATGCTAAGGTATTTTAATGAATATAAAGCTATTTATATGTTTTATATAACAATAGCTAATATTGATAAGTTTTTACCATATACAAGGGACAATTATAAGTTTTATCAAAATTCCAAAACAACCTCACAGGGTGATAAACCTAATTTCAACTTTACAAATGAGAAAACTAATATATAGAAAGGTGAGGTAATTTCATGAATGTCACAAAGGCAATTAAATGAGTTAGAATTCTTTTTACATACCAATCAAAATGAAAAAAAACTTTTTAAAATAAATAAATTTTAAAAAATGAGTTAGAATTCAAACTCAAGCAGGAATTGATGTCTATGAACTATCTATGAGTAAAATTTTCTGCTTGCCCAAAAATAAAGAACAGAAAAATTAAATAGGACTAGAAAAACAGTCAATCACATTGCATTCAATGACTTGAATTTGTGACACATCTAAAATCATTTAGTGGGGTATACTGAACTGGTTTATTCTAGGAAAGGAGCCATGGCATTTAGGATCTCAACTTTATGTTCCTTTAGTCTGAATTGTATGCTACTGGCAAACATAATATACAACTAAAACAGGAATTTTACGAAGGAGAAAATAACATTTAAAATTCATTTAGGGTCATATGCAAATTAGTGAAAACACTTACGATCACCATGTACCATATTCCATCTGTGCTCTGCAAGCCTTGTCCTTCAGTGTGCATATATTCCCAAGCCACGGCAGGACTACGTACTTAAAAGTATGTATCTACCTTTCCCAAGCTGTAGCTAAAAGACAACGCCCTTTCCTTCAGAAACACTTGGCATCATGTACAGAGGCTGTGCACAGGGGAGCACCCTTGAGCAGAAAAGCCACATGTGCAGGTTTGGCAGAAAGAGTTTTGTATTTGCTAAAAGATCAATTGAACTGTGAGCTAAAAGTAGCCAATGAGAACCAACTCACAGCAAGTAGAAAATAGACCCTTAAGGAATCAAATCACAATCAACACAAAAATTACATTACTGTGTCCTTCAAAATGACATTATTTCCAGCAACTGGATTCAGTTCAAAAGAAAAGGAAAAGGAACTGTCAAAGGCTTTTCACTTGGCCTTATTTTCACTGTGCCTATGCGATTTCATTAAACCACTTACAAGAAAGTTTCTAATGGAATATGTTCTTTCTGAAAGTAGAAACAAAAGCTGCACTTGAAAATGGATGATAGGAATTTGAACTATTGGTTCAGAGACTGAACTTTTAAAACAAAAAATTTTGGGTATATTGGACACAACTCCCAAAGAAACAAAAAGACATATGTTGTTTTAAAAACAAAGGGCATTCACTCATGAATGGGCCAAGTATTTCACACACCCTCCTGGCAAGACTTAGGGAAAATCCTGGAAGAGGGATAAAGAATTGTAAGAGCTGGAGGTTGGTGAGGACCTGAGAAAACAGTGTCTTCTGGAGAGAACAGGACTGATGTATCCCTGAACTTACATCTACTGTACCTATACAAGATCATGTCAGTAAATACTCCAGTAAGTATGGAGTAATGGCACACAAGCACCCACCCCTAGCTAAGGAGCTGGTGACTGTTGATCACTACCAGGGGAAGGAGAGTCTACTATCAGAAAACTCTGGACTGTGTAAAGTCTATGGTTAATATCACAAAGGATGCCTGAGAAGAACATAAAGATAAAATAATACAATGGCAGTGAAAGTTTCCCCAAACCGTGGCTTAAAATGCCCATCTTTACCCATGTATCAAAGCAAAGAAGACCAAGAAGAGTTCCATAATTTAAAGTGATTCTCTGCCTTACAAAATTTAACCTCAACTTCTAGTTATTCATTTTATATTCTGAGATATACTTCCTTGCATTGTCTCTCACTGAAAACACAGTATCTGTTGATTCAAAAGGCTTCAGGAATATATGAATGGTGTGACAGCTCTTTTGATGTTGAGTTTGCTCAGGCTAGCTTTCAATGAGTAGCCCTAAAGCATTTTCAATTATATATGTCCTCAGCAAGTCGTATTTGATCCATGTATTTCCCTGGAGCTCAGTACTTTTTGATTGACACTAAGTTCACTGATAATCATTTTAGTGTATTTTACAAATAAAACAGCAACAAGAGGATATTTAACACATGAGTATTCCAAAGAAATCAATGTTTAAAAGTACTGGACATATCTTTTCATTTACCTTAAGTTTCATCCTTCATTTATGCCCTTATGTGCAATTTCCCAGTGAGAAGTGATTAGTGAAGACATCATATATTCATGCCGATATTTCAAACATAAACATGTCTCAGAGTGCAAAGATGAACTCAACAATTGTCTTTGTCAATTGCATACAATGATAAATTATGAAATTGTAGAGTTATGCCTTACATCTCACAGACTGACAATTTGCGTTCAGCTAGCTTCTGGATGTCTTGTGTATTCATAAGTTTTGAGTCTTGTAATTATATTGTTATTCTCTTTAAAATATAATTGGTTGAAAAATAAATAAGACAAAATTACTAAGTCAATAAAAAATTTCCAGTTCCAGACAGGATAGTAGAAATAGCAACTATTTAACTTCTGCATATCACAATAAACTATTCCACACAAAAAGTAGTACTCCTAAGAACTCTGAGGAGCAGAAGAAAAAAAGGCAGAGTGGTTTGGAGGCCTCGGGATGTAGAAGGTAAAATGACAATGAATCTCTTTTGTCACCTTCTCTGCCCTCTATGGGCTGTTATTTGAGTTTCAGAGAATGCCTCAGAGCAGAAAAATGCCAGCGTCAGCAATAACAGTCAGAGTAACAAAATAACACTAAAAGAAAGCCAAGACCTGGTGAAATTGGTAGCCCAGTGAATCTTGCTTCTTGGAGTTACATCTGCCCATTCTGGGGATGAATGCACAAGCCATGGCCCTTCTACCAGAGGCTGGTACCAAAGGAGATCATGAGGAACACCTCTTCTCAGGAGGACTGTGGGCAGAACACTGTCTGCCACTCACACTTGAGTAAACACAGAGCATCCCCTCTTCTTTGGAGTCTGTGGTTTAAACTGACTTCCCACTCCCCGCCGGAGATAAATTCCTTCCCTGCGGGGCCTACCTACCACTGGAACTCTGACTGTTACTTCCCAATGTCCCAAGGAAACCAAACCACTTTCTACAACAGAAAGATTTGGAAGCAGGACATAGACAGTAAGGAGAAGCCCGGGGACAGGACAGGACTTCGCTATGACTACAGTGATGGGAACTCTATGATCCCCATGTGATACAGTATCACAGATATACAAGCAAAAACTAAAGAAATGGAACAAGGACTACAGCTGAGACCACAGCATGATGTGAAAACTGGTAGTTTGAAGAAGAGGAGGTGGAAGAAGGAAAATACATTTATATTGGAAATACAGTGATTCAATTTTAGAATGCTTTCTTCTGAAACATCTGGCCTCTATGGAAATGGATGATTCTGAGACAAATGTGCTCAAATGTTTAAAAGTTCTTGGTTTGTCACTCACATAAAGTGTCTAATAGTTATAAAACCAGTTGTCATTGTAGAACTGCTTCCCCCATAGCTTTCAATTTGGAGGTTTCTAATCAAAGAAAAACCACTATTGTGAAGGAAAATAATTGTTCTAATCCTAACATGGTTTTTATGGCTTACACGAATGCAGTCATAGCTAGAGAAATTTACAAGGTAAGTGCTCCTTCCTGAATGTGGCATGAGAGAGGGCATCTGTTACTGAGGCAGACACTTTAATAAGCAGCATTTATAAGTAGTTAATAAGCAAAAGTGGAGGAACAGTACTGCAAACTGTTAAGAGAGATACTGTTTTAGAATCATGCTTTCTTTTTTCCTAAGTAACTAAGCTTTCAGCGCTAGTTAAACCATCTAATTGACTGCTCTCCTTTACAAATGACAGTTACAGGCTAGGACAGTTTTACATTGTGCCTCAGTCCAAGGCAGCAATCACCTACAGGCTCATCACTAACAAACGAAAGAAAAAAAAAGGATCTCTGTTCGTCATTAAGCATCTTTGTCTCCATGGTTATACCAGGTTATCAGTCTGCACACTATATTTCCAGTGAGTAAGAGTGGAACCAGAGTATCCCATTTCCAGTGAGTAAGAGTGGAACCAGAGTATCCCATTGAGCAGCCTGGCTTTCAGGACAATGTTCTGCCAGCAGAGCTCTCAAGATGCCCATTCATGAAGTTTGTGGGTTCTAGTCTATTCTCAAGTAATTTAGAGAAATTCAACAACTTTCATTTATCTGCTGGGTAAAAATGTTAAGAACTATTCATTAGGATGGATTGATCTTCGATATACTAACCTTGTCTATAGACTTATTCAAAGGCAAGATAATATCATCAATGAAATGTTTGTCTTCTTTCTTTCTTTACTTACTTCCTTCTCTCTGTCTCAAATCTGTGGAGTAGTTTTCGAAGACCTCCATTCTTGAATCCCTGAAAATGGGCAGCTGGGGCACCCACAGTGATGACGTCATAGAGAGCATCTGGAATGAAAACAGGCAAGGAGATGAACACTTTGCAAACATTTGTCTCCTGCACTAAAGTATCAACTCTTCAGGAAGTTTTAGAAATTATTCTGTTTCAGTTTGTAGGAGTAACTATGAACACTCATCTCAAGGGGGTAAGAAGAACTAATCAATCTTTCTAAAAGCTACCTGTGCACCTCAACAAGTTATGATATTTCCAAGATTTATGACTGCATCTTAATTATATGCTACGCTGCAGAACAGCATGTTCTCCATCCCTCTATGTACTTACTGAGATAACATGTTAATTGGTCTTTTGTGTGTTTTACTTTATTGAGTTTTGCATCATTTAATTTCCAATCATATTGAAATTCAACAATAATGAACTATTTCTCAACCAAAGTTTTCAAAGAGAAGAACTAAAAATATTAATTTATTTTGGCTCAAGGGCAGAATGGTACAATCACATTAAAAACAAAATCTATCCAGTCATTTCCTGCTTATCTATTCTGAAATTTACACAACTCAGAATACATACTTTTGTAATGTCTTACACATTACACATAGAAAGAATGCAAAATATCTCATTTTATTTTCCATCCAGATACTTTTTATAAAAATAAATCCATACATATAAATTGAAATTCAATCTTTGACCCTGAATGTTATGGCTTCAAAACATGCCATCATTTTATATTCAAATGAAAGATAAGGAAGGCAGAGTGTATGTTCTCTAGTTAAACTACATTTTTGTTGAAAAATCTAATTTTATAGGAGATCTTTCTCAAATTGATTTTGATATTGACATATTGGTTGTTTCTGAGATATGGTTTGCTGAGAAAACATAAATCGTTTCATTAGTCTTAGGTAAACACCATCGCTTCTTCAAAATTATTCAATCTAGATCCACCTGAATTGTTATTGTTTTACATTAGAACATCTCCACCCTGAAAATACAAGATCAGGAGAAATAAAATACAATTTTCAATGTGACCCAACCCTTCATAACAATCAGTTAATGGACTATAATAATAATTACAAAACATTAACTTTTTAACTTTTGAAAAGTCACTAATATACTGAAATATAATATTTCTTGAGATAGAAGAATAATTGTTTTATAAGAAATTTAATTATTTCCTACCCCAGAGACTTTAATTTATGGTTAAGAAAAAGAATCTAATCCTAAGGATTAGTTTCATAGTATAAGAAGTGCCATAGAGAAAGGCAACCAACGGTCTTACTCAGCTATGAAACCTATCAACCACAATGACCAGCATGTCAAGAGATTACCAAGGATGGTAGTGGCAATTTTATATGGGCTGTAACCAACAGCTGTCTAGTTTGACTTTAGACCTGCTTAATACAGGGAACACATGCCTAGCATTGAAAACCTAGCCAACTACTAGCAGTAACATGGACCACAGAGAAGAACCTACTCCTACCACTTTCCCAAACCAGTATAATCTCTACTTGCATTCTTAATATATATCCTTGTACCCATAGATAAGAGAAGCTCTTAACCCTTTCTGCCTCTCTTTTCATTAGATGGGGACCATTATAGAAGGCCACAACTGTTCAAGATACAGGGAACAACAATTGTCTTTTGATTAGAAAATGAAACGTATGAATCAAGCCCTGAGAATTGGGTATGCTCTCTCCTATTAGAATGTCACCATCCCTGTCAATAGACAGAACAGGGAAACATTGTATACTTATTCACTACAGCACACCAACATCAGTATTACTCATCTATTTATCTATACTAGACAAACAACAGAAATTCGAGTCATACTGATATCCTTGACTTCAATACAGAAATATAAAACTGACTCTGGGTTTTTTTCTTCTACATTTAAATTTATTTGTAACCTCTTTCTCTGTCATTAAGGGAGTTGATTCTAATTATTAACATATATGCATATGTAATCAACCATTCTATTCACATGAATTAGCTTTGTTGATGACCCACACTTTTGTAAGAAATAGATTTATCCAAAAAGTTGCAGCACTTGCATTTTTTAAAAACAGTGTTTCCGAATGTTTATTAAGAATAGCCCTCCTTGTCCCATTCACTTAATGAAATTATCAGCTTGAGTATTTTAAGTGTCATTTATTATCACATTTACAAGAAAGTAAAAATAAATTAAAAACAAAAGAAGGTAGGGTTTATGAAATTCTAGGGGAGATTTACTTATTAATAAAAAGCAAGTTATGTTTCTTCTTGAAGGTGAAATGCCAGGAACCAAAAAAAAAAAACCAAGAGAAAAGAGCACAGTAATTGGCTACTCAATACCAAATGCTCATCCTGAAAACATATACATACAATTAACGCTATATGGACTAAGCAGGGAGTATTTATATCCTTAGGAAAAACTCTCTGTGTGTGTGTGTGTGTGTGTGTGTGTGTGTGTGTGTGTGTGTGTGTGTAACCACAACTGAAAAGAAGCTATGAATTTGAATGAGCAAAAAGTACTACACTGGAGGGGTTAGATGGAGGGAAAAAGAGGAGGGGAAACGAAGTGAAGACAATTCTAATCTTCCTATAGAAAGACAAAAATTCAGGATAGTTCAAACAAAAGAACAACAACAACAACAAAAATTGCTGGAGGTATCACCATCTCTGATTTCAAGTTATACTACGGAGAAGTAATAATAAAAATGCATGGTATTGGCATAAAAACAGACAGGTGGATCAATGAAATCGAATTGAAATCACAGACATAATTCCACACTTCTAGGGATGCCTGATTTTTGATAAAGAAGCCAGAAATACACAGGAAAAAAAGAAAAAAATCTTCAACAAATGGTGCAGGTCAAACTGGATGTCAGCATGTAGAAGAATGCAAATTCGACCCATATCTATCACCCTGCACAAAACTCAACTCCAAGTGGATTCAAGAACCTCATCATGAAACTACATACACTGAACCTGAAAGAAGAGAAAGCGAGGAATAGCTTTGAACGCATTGACACAGGAGACAGTTTCCTAAACAGAACACCAATAGTGCCAGCACTAAGATCAACAATTAATAAATTGGACCTCATGAAACTGAAATGCTTCTGTAAGGCAAAGGACATAGCAGCAGCCTATATAATGGGAAAAATTTTACCAACTTCACATCCAGTAGAGGTCTAATATCCAAAATATATAAAGACCTCAAGAAACTAGGTATTTAAAAAACTAAATAATCCAATTTAAAATGGGAGTGCAAACTTGTATAGCCACTATGGAAATCAATATGGTAGTTCCTCAGAAAGTTGGGAATTCATCTACCCCAAGATCCAGCTATACTACTCCTGGGCATATACTCAAAGGACTCCATCCTACCACAAGGGCACTTGCTCAACTACGTTTGTTGTGAATTTATTCATAATAGCCAGAAACTGGAAACCACCTAGATGTTCCTCAATTGAGGAATGGATAAAGAAAATGTGGTACATTTACACAATGGAGTATTACTCAGCTGTTAAAAACAATGACATCATGGAATTTATAGGCAAATGGATAGATCTTGAAAAAATCATCCTGAATGAGGTAACCCAGATCCAGAAAGACAAACACAGTAGATACTCTCTTATAAGTATATATTAGCTGTTAATAGAGGATAATCTAGCTACAATCCACAGACCCAGAGAGGTTAGGTAAAGAGGAGGGCTCTAGGGGGCATACATGGATCTCCCTGGGAAGGGGAAATAGATTTTGTAAGTGGACTGGGGGCAGAGGGGAGTACAGTGGGAGGAGTCAGGTGGGGAGGTGAGGGAATGAGAGAGTGGATAGAGAGAGCTGGAATTGAGGGGCTTTGGGGGATTATGTAGAAACCTAGTATGGGAAAAATAATTTTATAAAATATTTAAAAATTATAAAGAAAATAAGATAGAAGTAATAGAAGAAACACAATATTCATTTCTGACATCCACATGCTCACATCAAAAACTTTAATGCTCAAATTAAATATGGCATCAATATTTATGAATCAAAAAGGAAATAAAATTCAGAACTAAATTTTAAAATTTATTAAATTAAAAATGTCAAAGCATAACCAATGTTACATGATTAAGAAACTCCAAATCATCACTAGATATATTTTAAAGAAAAAAAAGACCCTAAAACATCCCTCACATTTGACCTTCATAGAAACATGTGAGAACATCCAGATGCAGGATCAGCACTTTATCTAAATTCTAAAATTGTGTCTCTTTCCCTTTCCCATGTCTCTGTTCACCTGTGACTTTCCATTAATGCAGTCTCTTATACAGGACACCTAAACTTTGTGTCTGGGTATTGAAGAAGCATTTAAGGTCTCACTCTGACCTGCATTCCTGTGTGTATAGATAAATTGATTCTGCCTCTCAGCCAGACTCAATGCTTAGAAAGCTTGGATCTTTATGAATCTATTCTATGTTCATAAGTTTTGATGGTAAAACTTTTTCCTATTTCACAGTTTAAAAGGTTTATTTGACTTTTTAAATTTCAGTATTAAGACACAAAAAGAAACACTAAAGACACCAACTAGAAAATACTATTGAATCTTCTTCCTCAAATGAATATAGATTTCAGGATGAGCAATAGCTTTGTTCTACAGCTACAGATATGGATATGTAAACTTTGTCTCACACTCTGAAAAACAGTGCAGTGTATACAGTGTATAATCCTTAACTTAAAATCAGAGAGTCTGTCATATTCAAAGTAGATCACTCAGTTTCTTAAAAGATAATATTTTCAATGGAACTCACAAAATTATTATCTAAGAAAGGCTTAGTATTTTGGAACACTCATCTGAGAACAAACAGTTACTAATAAATGTTTGGACAACTCAGTCTCTCTCTTTGGGTCCCAGAGCCTTGAATTTCACTTGCAATTACCTCAAAGTAGCAGATTGATCTATGTAGGTAGTTAATTTCCTGGTCTCAGAATAATGAAGAAAGATGTCCAATTAAAGAGCCACATTTATTCTTAACCATACTCCTTCAAAATCAGAATTAACTACAATTGATTATTTTTCTTTAGGCAAGAG